TGAGAAATATTTCTCTAGGCACTGAGTACATTCTGAAACTCCACTGCAGTCAGTGCAGGTAAAAACAAAGCTATTACGTGTCTTATGTTAATATTAACTCAGTTAACTTGGATTACCTGTTTTACAATTTACTTTATTCTCCTTCCTGGCTGCATGCTCAACAGTTCTAAGCATAGAACAGGATCAGACTATATATGACTTTTATTTCTTAATACTGCAGAGTAAATAGAATAGAATAGTTCAGTTGGAAGGGATCTTCAATGATCATCAAGTCCATCTGCCTAGTATTTTCAGGGCTAATCAAAAATTAAAACACATTATTGAGGGTAATGCCCGAATGCCTCTTGAACATTAACAGGCATAGGGCTTCAACCGCTTCACAAGGAAGCCTCTTTAGTATACTCCAAGGCCATCTTCTCCATAACTTCTCCAGGCACTGAGGTTAGACAGACAGGTCTGTAGTTGCCCAGGTCTTCTCTTGTGCCCTTTCTGTAGATGGGTATAGCATTGGCTATCTCCCAGTCAGCAGGAACCTCTCCAACCTCCTACCAGTTTGGTAGATAGTTGAAAGTGGTCCAGCTACAGTGTCTGCTAATTCCTCCAGCACTCCAGGATGAATTCCATCAGGCCACATGAACTTAGGAAAGTTGAGCTGATACCACAATATTTCACAGCTTGCTCGTATTGCTGCCCTCTGCTCCCCCTACAGGATTTTTATTTTGTTGAGATCTGCTGCATCAACATTATGATCCCTAAGAACATGCATCAGTTTGTCATATTGGAATTTATCTAAAGCCTTCTCAAAGTTAATAGAGAAACGCAGAGAGAAATCCTTTTTTGCTAATGTATAATATCTCAGGCTTAGGATTGCTTATTTTATTCTGACTCTTGAATGTAAACTGATTACAGACTGACTTCCCCTCTCCACTGTATTGCTGTATGTTCCATCGAGAATTGAAAACATTTTAAGGATAAAGCTTATCAAATGTACAGCGCAGTCTCGATTATGGTATTTGGCATCCGTAATTGTTATGTAAGAATGAAGATTTTGAAGCTTTCTCTCAAAGTATCCTGTGTGTAATTGGTTAGGGATTTAAGCTACTGTTTTAAAGTACTAAGTGGCTATGGCATTTCACCTACAATAACACCTTCCTCTCTCATGCTTTTTTCTGCCTAGGTTCAATGTCACAACCATCAGATCCTCTCTGTTAGGGTCTGTCTCACTGTATTATCTTCAGAATCTTCATGAGAAGTATCATTTATCCTTGCCTGTATTCTTGCCTGTCTTTCCAGAACATTTATTATATATCTACAGCATGCTTCATCATTTATAATTCTCATATAACCGACTCCCTTTTGTTCTTCAGCAGTTTCCTGATGCTCTATGTACATTGTTTTTTTCTTTTGGCTCCCCTTCTGACTTTGCTGGGCAATTTTCTAAATTCCTTCCATCTCCAATCTCACTCAGTTTCTGTTAATTTCTGTAACCAGCAGTTGCACAGTGTTATGACTCTTCACCCCCACTCACAATGAACTGGTTTTCTGCACCAGTTTTGAAATTCTTCTATTCATCTGATCCTCCCTTTGAAGTCTGTTACACAGGTTTGTTTCATTTTCAGTTGAACTCCCTACAAGAACTTGTAATACTTTGTTTTACATACTCTCAAGCTTAACCTCAGCTCAAGAATCTGTCGGTTCTAGCACACAGAATTAGCTTCAGAACTGTTTTGATATCTCAGTGTATCTGATTCCTGGTTTTCATGCTCACTTGGGCTGATGCTGAAACCAGGCATTCTAGATACTAGAATCACATCTGCTGTTTGCTATCTCAATCAACTTGTTTTCCCTCATACTCTTAAATATAAAGCCAGGATTACTCGATTACACTATGCATACACTGCTTCATATTCCAACATCAGAATTACAAGCAAATTCCCCCTGCTTTTCCTTTCCTTGCCTGATTCCCTCCTCATCTTTTGTAAGAGCTTTTCTTTACATCTTGTTGGAAGACTTCCAAAGGGAATAAGATTAAAATGGAGAGTCCAGATGGCAAGGTGTGTAATCATGCAGATCATGTTCTCCCAGTACTAATGGCTAGACTTTTTTTTTTTAATTTCTCCAAATCATTTGTATTATCTTTATTCACATCACAAACATTTTATATTTCTATTTAGTAGTTGGCTATCCATTTCTTTTCACAGTTTCCTTACATTTTCAAGTGTTTGCTCTCCTCCAACATTATGGGAAACCATCTCATTTTACAGGAAATTCTTGTACCACATATGGTAAAATCTTCCATTTATGTTTTCTTTTCCCCCATCTTTTGCATAATTGATTTTACAGCAGGCAATCACTAGCTTGCATTAATTTCCGCAGATGGATAATTAACCCCAAACTGGTAATTTAAAAATCATATTAATAACTAAATTAACAATTTTGTTTGATTTTCGTATTTCTTTAGTACTAGCTATGAAGTTTCAGTAAAAAAGGAAGTTTAACAAACTTCTGTATAGTTATGGAATTCCACTACAAAAAAAAAAAAAAAAAAAAAAGGTATAAAGAAAGTTAGAGATGTAAATCAAGGAATAGAAGAAGAAAATTCAGGGTTAAGATGCTTCAGCTTACCCTCTAAATGACTGTAACAATTTCAAACACTGCCAAAATAACACAGTTTCCTCTAGCACCATTCTCTCATATAGCTGAACCATTTCAACTGAAGCTTCCCAAATGATTCAGCTCGAGGCAGACACTCAAAAATCAATGTGAATGTTTTAAATTTGGCAAAGTTACAAGCATTTAAGAAGAGGATCTCATAACAGTAAATACTTGGCAATCTGTGCTAGCGGCGTCCTCATTTGCCTGAGCTATAACAACTTCCCTGATCAGAACTAGCAGCTGCTTCTGAGAAGCCACTGCAGTGCTGGCTGCACATCAGTACCAGGTAACACAATCTTCATGCAGAAAATATCTTTTTTTTTTTCCTATCAGGACAATGCCCTGAACCAAACAAAGCCTCTCACAGGAGCTTGTGAAAGCTCTGCTCTTGCCATACTGAGAACAAGACAGGGCTGAGCATTAGATAGAATGAGGTAGGGTGGGAGCAAGCAATGGATTACACAAGCTGATTGTTCCTTCCTACCTTCAACTACTGTGATTCTACATCCGAAGTGCATAAATGCTATCAGCGTACACCCAAAGCTCCAAACCTGCACGTACATCTGCTTTAGAGAGACAGCTACTCCATACAATGCTGACAGTGAGCCAAGTGATGCCTAGCAGAACCATGCAGTTAAATGGATCTGCAAACCCTTGACCAGAATCAATTAGACCTAAAAGGAGGCAAAATTTCACAAGATTGACAGATAGCATTTGTGAGAAAGGTTTCAAGAATACACAACAAAATGAGGAAGAAAAATTCTGCTTGCAGCACAATGAAAACTCCAAAATGGTGTACTACAGCTTCATTAAAACCATTTGCTTTTAATCATTGCCATACTGAATTCCTGAGTGGAAAATATTATTGGGAGGAATTTGAAAATGGAATTAATTTGTTATTTGCAGATTTCCTTTGTGAAAAATACTTGGTGAGATTATACATACACATAAAAGGAATACCAAGGAATGAGCTTGACCTTGGTATGCAAGGTGAAGAATAACAAATATGCAGGGAGGCAGTTTAGTTCAGTGATGGAAAGGACACTGGCACAGCTTTCTATGTTTCATACAGTGGGATATCTACTATTAATGCTCCGATCTTCCTTACTGAAGAATTGTCATTATTATTAAAACAATTCACTTTCTTTGTTTATGACTAACAGGGCCCTTCTAATTTTTTCGAGTTATTTATTTTCTGTGACGTAAAAAGCAACAACAAGCAAACCTCCCAAAAGGTATTACCTAGATCTAGTATGCAATTCATTTTTCATGGTGAGCCAAATCAAAATAAAAACAAAACAAGCAAACAAACAAAAAACCAAAACCACAAAACCCTACAAAAGACTCATGTCATCCCAAAACTGCAAAGGCATTTTGAATCTTGGAAAAGGATAATTTCATTGCTTTTGTGTATTATGCCACTTCTTTGTTGATGCGGTTGGCAAATTTTTGCACTCCCAGAATGTTTAGTGTTTAGCTCTCTGAAATAAGCATCACTCATACACTCCTACATCTGCTTTAAACTAAATTCTAAATATAGATATCTACCTTGAAACAGCAAAAATGTACTCCTTCTAGAGCATGTATTTCAATTCTGGTAGCTTCCTGGGATGCTTTTTACTTTGGATGCAATATGAAGATGATGGAAGGTGGTTAGCAAGGTTTTGATCATGTATGGAGTGTCTTTGTTTTAAATGTATGGGATGCAGAAAGAAATACCCTAAAATATCCCTCATTCCAGCACTGCAGCTGCAGTCACGGACTATTGCTTTAGAATGGGTAATATCTATCACACTCTGACCACAATTTTTAAGTTCCTAATCAATAAAGTAATTCAGTTTGGTTGCAGATGCTTCCTTAAAGATAACTACTATGAGAGACAACCGATTCTGAAGTGTGCAGCAGCAGCATGTGGCACTGAATAATGCTGGCAGCTGATACTGCCCAATCTAAGAGCCTGCATGGAGCATTTTTTGCTTAACATGGAAATGTGTCTGTATCTATAGAAACACTGACCATCTGTCTGTGAATGTGAACTCCATAGCTCCCTCCATATTTTCATCAGAAAAGCTGCAAAGATTTACATTCTCAAGGCAAAGCAATCATCCCTGTTAAGAACTTTCCCTCTTGCACTGAGGACAGCATAGAGAAGCCGTGAGTTGGACAACACCAGCAGCTGACTGCAGTGAACTGGAACTGGTTGCATGCAACACAAACTGGGCATTCTGCATGGCCTTCAGGAACAGTACACATAGTAGAACTGCAGATATAGCCCTGGGTTAAAATCGTATTGAGCATGCTGATTTTTGCAAAATTAAAAGCAAGATAAACAATAAGACATTTACCTTCCACATCAAGGCACCTAGGTGGGCTATCTGACCAGATAAGGTTATACATGCACTCAAGGAACTCTGCCCCTTCTAGTTTATATCCAGGAAAGCATTGATAATACACCACTGTTCCTACTGAGAAGGAGGACTCGAACTCAGATATGTTAATGTAACTATGAGGAAGAACCAATGGCCTCAGGCAACCTGCAAATTAAGAAGAAGGAGGTATCTTTTATTACAAGGCGCTTATCTTATTCATTTTAACATACCCAGAAAAGAACTCCTAGATTGAAGAGTGCAATATTTTTCACCTTCTCTACCATGAATGGCATGACTGCATGTTCTCCCTCAGATACATATGCCTCGTTATTCTTTTTGAAACTCTTCTATTGTTTAACCCACATGCTTTGCTAGTATGGGATTCAGTCTCAACAAATCCAAGGAAGGTTTACTGAAAATTACAGTATTTTGTTGCACAAACATTCACTGCTTTAGCAGATGGCAATTTCTTTTTGAGGTAGAATCTTCAATAAATAAAGACTGTCATTTATATAAACCATGAGTTTTATTTCTCCTCTTAAAACAGTCGGGTAGACCTTAAATATTCAAACTGCTCTTGTGATAAAGTGCACACAACTGTAAAAGATCTGCAGACAGAATTAATGATTTTGAGGTTCCAAACTGAGAAAGTCTAAAGGGATGTCATTTCCTATGAGCAGTCACATGATAAACATTGAGCGAGGGCTCAGATCAGACTATCAAAGGTTTAAAATACCTGTTATCAACAGAAATATTAAATGTAGTCAGCGGCTCCATTCTACCTCTAGAATTACTCTCGAGGGATTTGTGACATGGGTGGTACTCAGCTGTGACAGTTAAGTGGTCACCAGCTGTGTTTGGTGCAGCAAAGAAAAGGAAACAGCAGTGAAATGAATAGATGGCATGACTTTCTGACAGGTTATTCACGTATATTCAAGGCTTGCTTTGAGGTGGCATTTAGAGAAGATATTGTACTAGAGAAAAAATAAAGGCCTCATGGCATTAGAAATGACCCACTGGATAATAATTGTGTTGATTTTTAAATTTGCAATAATATCAGGGAAAGATGATTACTAATCAGGGAATGATCAATATTACAAGGTCAGGAGACAAGCAGGGGTTTCATTATGGCAACACAGAAACGGGTCTCTTGCCACTACAAGAAATTTGTGAAGGATATCTACAAAGGCTCACATAATGTTAAGTCTGACAGAGAAACTAGAACCAGAGTGAGAGCATCTCTTGTAAGACAGTAGCACTGCTGTGGATGCCCAGCTGCTGTCTATAAAGGAAAGGTCTCCACAGTACTTGAAGTGATTATTTCCTTCCAATGGCCACTTGAGGAAGAGGGATGAAAACAAATGCAAATAGAACAAAGCTTGAAAGCTTTTTCCAGCACACTTTACTAACAGAACAATGACTCTGACAGCTGTTTTACTAGTGGGTTATCTCCTTGCACTAGTATACCATAGGCATCCTATCTCCTATTTACTGCCTGTACCCCAGTCAGATATGCCCCTCACATTAACTGCTCCTGCAAACCAGGCAGCCTGCAGAGCAGGATGACATGAGCAGCCTCCAATGGGACAGAAGGGAGGAGTGCTGCCTGCCCAAGCTTGCATTATACTGTGGAAGGTTTTGCCTTTCTGACTCAGAAGTTTAATGCCACCAAGGTCTTTGCAGTACAGGACCAAGATTTAGTGGAATTTGTAAAAATTCTAAGGGTTTGTGAAAATCCCCAGTCTCCAAACACCTCCAGCTGCCTGGAAACTTCCTTTTGACATTTTTTTGCCAAATAATTCACATCATTCCAGATCAGTAATTATCATGACTACTGCATGTCAAAAATAGTCTGAGGCTTGATTTTTCTCTGTTCTACAATCCTTTCCCATTGTTCTGTCAGAAGAAAAAGACATCTCAGCATCATGAGACTCCTGCCTGTTTTAATCAAAGGGCCATATAAATGTAATTGTCAGGCTCCCTACCGCAAGTATTTGAGAGCCTTTGACAGTATTAGTGCCTAACAAGGGCAAAAAAAAATTCTGGAGTTAATTCTGTAACAGAATTATAGAAATTAGCAAAATACAGAAGATACTGGAATCTGAGTTATCTATTTTTTAGCTATCTGATAGTCACAGCACTTTGCTCTCATGCAATTGACTTCATAACTTTAATTAGCATGGCCTTTATTTTTAAAAGCAGTGAACATTGAGTATTGAGTAGCAGCAATTGATTGCTATTTATAGTATAAATACAGCAACTGAAGATAGTAACCCAGGGGCTATTTCTACTTTCCCATTTAATGCTGGCTGTTACAAAATTTCCACCTGGATCTTTGGTAAATACAGTACCTACAAATCCACCTTGTTTGAGTTCCCCTCACCTATCTGCACATCCTAACGTCCTGTTTTTCAATCTCTCTCTTTGGGATGATGAGTTGGCATGGGTTAAGCCACTCTTCTCCTTAGCACAGACAGATAAAATCTTTCGATGCTCTTGAGCTGGCCAAGCTTGAATTGGTTAAAAGGCAGTGGTACTAAGACATGCATGTCAGTAAGGTGATATTAGAGCTGACTGGGAGTTAATTCTCATTAAATAAAGCTGGCTTACCCCCAGTGACTTCTTGCAGTTGAAGCAAAGCTGGATTCTCAAATTACTAATACTACAAGTTCCATGACCAATGGTTTTTCTGGACAAAATCCAATCCTGAGTTTTCGGTCAATACCAATCAGTTTAATGGACTGTGAACCCAACTATCAATTCTGCTGAAAACTCAGAGAGATGAACAGGTTCCAGGATCTTCTCTCCTCTACCTGTGCCCACTGCGCATGGCAAACAAAGGTAAATTACAGCAAGAAGCTTAAACCTCTCTATAAATTGGCTCAAAAATTTCATCTGCCCATCAAATCATTTGCTGATATTCTGATTTAACCTTGACTTCTTTTAAAAATGCAATGCATCTCTGCAAGATTATAAACTATCGGATACAACAGTTCATAATTCAAGCATGGATATGTTCAGAAACCAGTATCTTCTTTTCTGCAGCAAGCAGTGGGGTGGAGAAACCAAAGTATCTTAGAAGAAGAGCTATTCAAATACTCTACAGTGGGACTGAAGAGACCACTGTCATCCTTAAAACTGCAGGAAGAAATACTGGCAGGCTATCACAAGGTGCATGAGCTATAAAACAGGATGTTCTGGTGTACTAAACCTTGACAAATGGGCAGATTATCCCAAGTTCCATCGTCTTGACAAATTGAAACCATGTTGTCTAAGTCAGGGTAACGGATCTGGAATCCTTCATGACAGCTGATTATTAACTTATCTCCAGTCCTGTAAGTCTTGTTATGAATCTCTGCATCTTCAACATGTGGAACAAGGCAATCTGTGACTTCATAAAGAAAAAAATTGACTTAATTAAAAATAGCACGGCTAGCTATTCAGTAATCAAGCTCTTAAGCAAAAATTATCTGTTAATATAAGTGCTCTGCTTAAACCATTTGGACAAAATGTATTTCAGCAAATATATACTTTCCCTAGTTAAGCATCAGTTACAAAGTCTATAGTGTGGTACTAGAATCTGATGCGTTACAGTAATGGATCATTCCCCATGACGTTTTTAAACAAACACAATTAAGGAAGACTCCTTTTAATTTTCTCCTTCCATTCATCAAGTGCAAATTACACCACACACTGTGACTACACGACGGTCCATGCGACGGCAGACTCTTTGACAGCACCAAGGACAAGATGAAAGAGGAGATAAAATACAGATACGAACAAGGAACAAAGGGAAACTGCAGTGTTAGCAGAGAGACAGAATGAAAATCAGGTACAGCTACAAGGGCTTATCCAACTCCATTTCACAGAGTTCATTTTGAGAACGCATTCATGTTAATCTCATTGATTCTGTTTTAAATCAGGCCATTTTATGTGCCTGAATTCATATGCCTTTAGAGGGTGTGAGATTTTAAACAACTAAGTGCCATCTCAAGTGTTTGTAAAGGCTCTCAAAAAGTGGAATAGCTACAAACCTCCAGTGATATACAGTCATGGGCTCTCTTACCTGTCTGAGATACATTTGTCAAGCACTATAATCAATTCAAGGTATGCTTTGGTGCCAAAAACACCAAAATATAAAATAAAACCCACATGACTACAAAAATGAAAGATGTCATGAACAGTGGAAGGAAAGGGTGAGGCACAGTTAAAAACATTCTGCTAATACTGAATAATTAAGAGAGATGCCAAGAGGATATGAAGGAATTGTCCAGGTTAAAAGTTCATCCTCCACATGAATGCACAGTGAGACTAAACAGAAGAGAGGAAAATATCACATACTGGCAAAATATAATCAAAATTATCTGGTTTGCTGCCAGCAGTCAATCCATGACACAGATGGGGATAAAAATTTCCAGGCATCAAAACCCACAAAGTGGTTTAAATAACAGCAAGCAAATAAAAATATTGCAAGCCTGTTCTATGCTGTTTTTTTCAAATATTTCTACCAAGGAGTAATCACCTTCATTTAGGAATGTGGTATTTACTAAAAAGAAGTTTCAGCAGTCCTTTGAGACTTACATAAAAGTGAAAGTTTCTGCCATTTTCAGCAGTAATTCTTGGTGAAGAGGTGGAGGGAACTCCAAGTTTGGTCTTAGCAGGTTACAGCAGGCGTGCACAAAGTAAAGCAACAACTTGCTTCTTTGTTTAGAAACACAACTTTAACCGAGATAAACTGCAGTTTTGCACAGCACATGCAAACTACTAAGAGCAAACATATTTCATGATGTTTTCGTAGAATCATTACAGTTGGGAAGGCCATCTAGTCCAACCACCAGCCCATCCACACCATGCTGACTAACCACATCCCTCAGTGCCACATCTCCACATTTCATAAACACCTCCAGGGAAAATTTGATTTATTTAGGCAAAGTAGGTCATTATTACTCTGAGATTCAACCATTAAATTTTACTAATATGAAGTGGAAGGGTGTTGCTTCCCCATTTAAAATGTATTATCCAGTGTGACTTTATGTTATAAAGATGGTTTCTAAAATATACAGTACATGCCTAAACTTCAGTATTGGGCTCGGATACATTATTAGTTCAGAATTTCCCCATTCCTCTTGCTGCTTTATAGGTATCAACTTACAGATGTCCAAGTCTGGGATGATGTGTTCCTTGCCTACAAAATGCACTAAGCTAAGGATGTAGGCATCCCCGTTCCAAGACTGAGCATTTTTCACTCTTGCTGGCAAATTAATCAGTGAAGCAGACAGCAGAGGTTGCCCCATAAGAAATGCCTGATGCAAACCTCGTCTACTGTCATGCAGAGGCTGCCCCGGGCACTTCCACAGCTGGCATAAGATGGATGGGCATCCTGCTCTGCAGCCCTGCAGGAGGAGGGCTGAGATGGATAACGGAAGATAATATCAATGAGCAGCTCACTCTTGGCACAACAGCTTTCTGTTGCTACACAAATAAAAAAGACGTATATATACACTGCAGTAATATATGAGATTTCACTTCCAAAGCGGGGGAAATTGATTCTGTAACAATGATCTATAACAGTGACTTCAATCTCATTATTCCAAATAACAGCTATAGATCGAATCACTTTAATCGGACAGATGCTGGTGGAGAACAGTGCAAAGTTGTTCACTGTACATTTTATGCTCACTAGATCCTGGCTGGCTTTGATAATGGCCCTATTACAAGCCCCAGCTAAGTATGGGACTTCCATATGACAATATTACAGCGCTTTTCCTGTTGCCTCGTGAGCAAATGGTTTCCCACTGGCTGAGTTTCTATTGTTTAGCACTTAACCAGGAATAAGTTGCAGATGCCATCTCTCTGCAAACAACTGGATTAGCTGGCACAAACTCTGTTTGGAAAAGCTGAGAAGTTCTGGTCGAATTTTAAAATGTCCTGTCCTAGAAAATAAACTGCTTTATTTCAAGTACTTTTCTGCAAACCCACGGAAGCCACTAAACCATTTAACAATGTACATAGTCTTTAACCAGCATCAAACAGTAATGGTTATGACTGACATTCTTTTCTGCCACTTTTACATGATCTGCTTATATTGAATGTGTGAATATTAAAATGGGTCACCTAAGAGCATGCCCTAGTTAGGAACACATTTCTTTTCTTCCAGAAAAGTGGTCCTTGTGCAGGTGGGGGGCAGCTGGCAGGCCCCACACTGATGTCATCCTGGCCTATGAAGATGCACATTAGGAGTCCTTGGCTTCAGCAAGCCATGCTCTCACATGTCAAAGGAGGATATTTTTTAGCATGTAGGATTTGTTAAACTCAATAGTCCAAGTGCTTCAGTTTGTATGCAAACAATACAATGGAACATTGAATCACAGAATGATAGAACAGTTTGGGCTGGAAGGGACTTTAAAGCCCATCCAGTTCCAATCTTCTGCCATGGGCAGGACTGCCACCCACCAGCTCAGGCTGCCCAAGGCCCCATCCAGCCTGGCCTCAAGCATCACTCAGAGATGTTCCTTCCAGTCCACAGGGAAGGAGGGCCACCCTCTCTCCTTACAGTAGCATCTACAGAGTTAAGGTAAACGCAGCAGGAGGGCTATGGAAATAGTCACAAAGAATGTACAGGAACAACTCATCTGCACACTATCCTCTTAAAAACAAACTAAGATCCAAATTCTCTTTTTCAGTAGTATTGAATCTATACTACTGTGCTAGTAGAATCATTCCGAAGATGGAAAACATGAGATTTCAGTGCATATTAAATGCCTTCCTTGCTGCCTTTGCTTGTATTCCAACAGTGCACAACGGCTTTTCCCAAGACTAGTGGCCATCACACCAAGCACAGATTACATACATCATGGGGGGGTGCGCAACAAGGCTTAAGAATCAAACACTGGGCAAGAGTGTTAAAAGATGGAGATAAAAAAAAGTGTTCGGTCATCTCACAGATCCAGGGACAAAGGCTAAGAGAAATGAGTGCTAAATGTCATATGAGGAAATTGTGCCCAAACTGTGCTCTAGCCCGTTACTTTTACTGCCAGTTTATCATCCCTGCCACTGGGAGAACGAGGCACTGAGCACATCTCAAAGGCATTTGCATGAAGGAGCACTGGGAGAGCAGGGCACAGTTCTTCGCTTAGTTGCTATCCCCACACAGACTGTAAATCTAGATTCAATCTCATAGGAAAGAGGCAGCATTTGTTACAAGTAGGGCAACAGTCTCAGCAGCCACATTATCACAGTGGGAGAAGATTAGATTAAAGTGTGAACAACACGACATATTGCTCTTAAACAGTAAATACAAAATTCCTACCTTAGAGCTTTGGCATTTATGTGCATAACTGCATTAGAATTGATGGAAGTTACACTCACAACAGGCCATAGATCAGCACAAGAGCATAACTCTAAACAAGCCAATTCTTGACAGTGCATTTACTGGCACATAGTCATGCAACTTCATTCTTGCACTGACACTTAAAATCTCCTGCCACTTCACAAAAAATGACAGAGTTTTAAATCCAATTAACTGGATGAAGAACAGTTTTAAGATTGATTACATTCTGAAACAAGTTTCTTTTCTTCCTTTTGTAAATACCATTAACTTGTGATTAGAGATTATTCTAGCAAACATAAAGATAATCATACTTCATAGCATACAGGTATAAAATCATATGTAACTACCCTTAGCTGAACCCAAACTCCTGAAATTAACTTAAAATCAACTGCAAAGTACTGAACATTTTTCCTGTTCGGGCTCAGATGGCAGTGTTTGACTTTTACATGTGCCATATGGCACCAGAGGCATGGAGTTTGTACTGCAGTAGCCATGGCAATCAGCCTCTGCCTGAACTGGGTGAATGTCATACGCTTGTTTCACCCTGTGACAGGTCAGTCACAAATGTTAAAACATTAACTTTCTACTTCAACAGCAATTGTTACAAATTTCAAATTTCTTTTCACATGCCATTATAGAATTTCTTCTGCAATGAAGACTTCTATCGACATCAAAGATAAATCACAGGTAAATCACAGAATGGCTTAGGTTGGAGAGGAACCCTAAAGCCCCCGGAGCTCCACCCCCAGCCATGGCCAGGGCTGCCACCTCAGCTCAGTCTGCCCAAGGCCCCGTCCAACTTGACCTGGAGCACCTCCAGGGACGGGGCATCACAGCTTCTCTGGGTAGCCTGTTCCCCAAAAAACTGTTCTGACTGCTCCTTGACTGCTCTGCTCCTATGCCACGCTCCTGCGCCACGCTCCTGCACTCCCTACCTCCCCATCGTGCTCCTTCCTCGTGATTCTGGTCCTGGTACACACAAGAACCACACTGAAAAGCACTTCAATAAATGGGTAGGTCCCCTGGATTGCCACTGAACTTTTGCTTAGTATTTCTTCTGAATCACTCGTTATATTATGCATTGGAAAGAAGAATTAATTTGGTCTTTTTTTTTTTTTTTTGAGCTAAATCCTAAGATTGTTTTAACAATACCTGAGGGAAGAACCATTAATCAGGAAAGCACTTAGGCACTTGCCTCACTAAATCCTATATCAGGGTCCTACTCTTCAGTCTAAATAATAAAAAGTATTTTTCTGTATGCTTCATTTTGGGAATAGAAATTTAAGAGGACTAATCACATAATTACAGCTATGCTCAAGCTTAAGTGCTTTGCTTGATCAGAGCACTGGCTTGCAATCGTTTTTAAGTGTTCTGTGCTGAAAAGTAATGATTATCTCTTAAGCACCTGTTGCCACATCATCCATCACGTTCTTATCTTCCAATTTCTTTCTTTTTTTAAAAAACAGTTGGAGGAAATTTTGGTCACAGTGATATTAGTGGCGGCTCTGCTGTTGAAGGCATTGTGATCTGAAACCTCTTTCACAAATTTCCATAGATTTGGACTGTTGGGGCTGGGAAGAGGTCTCAGCATTCAGTAAAGCACTTAATATTCAATAAAATAGGTCAATGCTTATTTTAATAATGTGGACAATACAGGTGCTATTTCAAAATTACTATTATGGTAATTCCATCACTATTTTTTTTGTGGTCTGTAAAAAGATCATACCATGTGATACAGTGTGGAACACCAATATCTAAACACATTAGTGCCTTGATAATCTTTTCCTTCTTCCAATAGCCTGACTGTATCTGTGGCTACATGGCTTGAGGTCATTATTTTCAACAGGAATGTATATTATTAGTGAGGCTGATAACTCATTCATGTTTTGGTTGCGTGCTGCACTAATTTTGACATTAAATGTAGCACAGCTCCAAATAATTTTGTGACTTGTGCCAGGGTTTCATCCTATCTACATATGTACTTGAGGCTTAGGTATCAATATTTCTCAGCAGTATCGCCTGATAAAATGACCACCACTCCCTTTCTTCCTATCAAGTTAATTTCTATCAGCTATGACCTATGAATGAATTCAAACTTGCATATAATTTCAACATTGAAAATCAAGTAAAATCTGCTCAGTGCTGCGGGCAGGGTGATTTAACCACAGGATTTGTTTGCACTGCACAGCCAGCTCCCTCTTGATACCAGCAGTCATAGTTGTCATTTGGACTTGCTCCCATAATTTGCCCCTAAACTCAAAGGGTATAGAGTCTATACTCCAATCTGTTTGCCTGTATGTTAAATCTCATTTGAAAGTACATCCAAGTCTTTACCTGGTGTCACAATCACCACATCGATAATCTATCCTAGAAGAGTTTGGATGGGCCATAATTCTGCTAAATGTTTCAGAAGTTCTCAGTATCGTTCCTGCTAAGACCACTGCATTGTAGCTCCACAAAGCCACTGAAGAGCCGTTCTGTCTGAAAGATAGGCTGACCTGTGTGCCCCATTTCTGGTTCCGTCTGTGACCGCTCCACCAGTTAGGATCTGTGCTGTTCAGTCACTCTTAGGCTTATTTTCCTATGATCACCCTCAAAACAGACAGCACATTCTCATACAACTTATGAGCTGGTGCTACTAGCCTGATTGCCTTTACGTTCTACATATTAATTGTAATGTCAGTGCATATCAAAAGAGAGCTCAAGACTGTATCCCTCATGACTCTGTTGCCTATGGCATATTTTACCAAGACCTCTCCTTGGCCAACTGGACAGCTACCTGAGAGACCACGGACTACTCACCAATTATTTCTGGCTACTCTCCCCAGTACTTACTGCATCATATTGACAGGACTGTCCATGCTGAAATCAGTGAGGCAATTGCTGATGTCTTCAATGGAAAGACAACACTAAAATGTGCACACCTGATTTAACTTACACGTCTAATGTCTGTTGATTTTAATAGCTCTGTTGACCGTAATAATACAACATAAAGAACAATTTATAGCTTTAATATACTTAGTGGAATAAATACGCTGCCTGGGGTGTATTTTTGCCCAAAATTTATATTTACGATATTCGTATTAATCCTGCTTCTAAAAATTCCTGGAAGAAGAGAGTAATTTAATGCCCTAATTAGTAAAAACCAAATACAAATTCAAAAATGCACTGCAATAAAAATAAGTTGTTTTATGTATAATAGTCTGATTTATCTCAAAGTAAACTTCTACAGTGACTTTACATTTTTTCATTTCATGCATATTTGATTTTCTAACTCGAATCATGCACATGCCATAAAATACAATTGTTTAAAACTCCTGATTAGCAGGAGTGGCAATGGAAGTTAATTATATTTTCCTAGTAAGATATTACAGAAAGAAGTATTAAGTAGGCAGTTTTAACAAATAGCTATAAACAGTTTACTGATAAGAGACTGTTTTCTTCTTCTCTCTGCATCAATTTGTAACTGGGTAGAAGGATTACACGAGACTCCTTTATGTCCTTTTCATACACATACACACACACAGAACCTCTCACAGTACAAACTTAACAGAGGAATGGTGACTATGGATGGGAAACTCCAGTATGTATCAAATAAGATCCAATAAAATGGACTCCAGCCTGCTGTGGTTTGTGCTGAGACACAAGGACAAGGTACACATACAAACGAGAAGCACTAACACTGGTGAATTGCTTTAAGAGAACTGACTTACCTTCTTGTAGGCACACAGGTTTATCACTTGGTTTCCAGCTCAGGGAGCCATTAAAGTGTCTCACACAAAGTTTTTTTGAAGTACCATTAAGCCTGTATCCTTCTTGGCAATGAAACCGGACTACCACGCTTTCAAAGAAAACACCTGCACTGGGTGTCTTGTATCCATGTTCAGGAGCTCCAGGATCCGCACAAGCATGTAGGTCATCAAACCCTACGTCAGACAAAGATAGAATCAAACCATGTTCATGCAGCCATAATCACACCTTGTCTAGGTTTCCCCATTGGTTAATCTCCATATGGGCCTTACGTCTGCTATTAACATTCATTACCAACCATATATGGGTACTGGGTGCTCCAGACTTGGGAGAGGACCAGCCTTCAGCCACAGGACAAACATATGGGGGACAGAAATATTTCTGTCCTATTAGGTAACTATGGAGAAAGCAAGAGCACAAGCATTCCTCAATAGCTGACCTATACAGAAATTAAACACTGACTCAATCTCCCTGTGGGGATGGCACACTAATGTATCTGTAATTATTCCTGGGGACTATTGGGTTCTAGAGGCCTTGTACCATTATTGGAAAGAATAATAATGTGCCGGAAGCAAAGTGGAAATAAAGTGGAAATAAAGAAAAGGGTATGAAGCCTAACTGCATCATGCATTTAAACAGAAGATAAGCTGCCAGGTACAGGGAGATTTTTAGTTGTACAGGACATCCACCAAAGGGATAAAAGACACTCTAATGCTGGAGATATGTGTTTTCCCTATGAATCTGGCTTGGTGGCCCTACTAAACTCTTAAAACACTTTTATGAGAGTGCTGTATTACAGCATTCATGCCAGAAGGGATTTTGTAAAGCCATTTATATCCATAAAACTAACTGTAAAATAACAAACAAAAAGCCAACAGTTGCAATCATTAAATGGGACTGTTTATCACTTAATCAAACCTATTTCAACATCATTTGCATAAAGTGAGGCTTTTTTTTTTTTTTTTTTACTGCAAACTAGCCATGGTTTATCACAGTACTGAACAAGTACTGCATACTGAAAGAGCAAAAGAGTTTTGCTGCAGAAACAGCATGGGGGCAATTAATGCTGGTGGGAGAGGTGCTTGAAAAACTCATAAATCATCGCATTTTGTCTTTAATGTTTCGATTTTAAAATAATAGCACTGGAAAGCCTCGGCTACTTCCTGTATGATAAGCACAAAGTGCCTCTGTCGTACAGTCAGGGACAATTAAGGTATTACGATAGAAGACTTTTCAAAACAAATCTGTTCCCCAGACCACTGAAAGGCTCAGAAGAGCCACCAGAAGGCTGATTTTCCTGATTCCATTTCATGGGTCAAGGTCACTGTACTGAACCCTCCCAGCAGGCTACCATTTCCAGCGATTTGAGAGCAGGATGGCCAGAGCCCAGCATGAATGCCCAAATCCATGCAGTCATCCCTGACTCCAGCCTCTGCAGTGCTCACATATCATGCACATTAGTGGCATTTCAACTAAGGAGATGCCTCCGGCGTTCCCTCTCTTCCTGCTGCTGAACCAACACAAAAGGAGCAGAGAATCTTGGAACGGGTTGGGTTGGAGAAGATCCTAAAGCCCACCCGGCCCCAACCCCCAGCTGCAGGCAGGGCTGCCACCCCCCAGCTCAGCTGCCCCATCCAACTTGTCCTGGAGCACCACAGCTCTATGAGCAGTGCCAAGGCCTCACCACCCTCTGAGTAAGAAATTTCTTGAGCATCTGCTCTTAGCCAGTTTTACTCTTCCATACAGTAAAGTTTATCACAAGGAGAGATGGGTTAGTGCAATAGCCAAGTGGAAAAAATTTCTGAACTTCAAAAGTCTATTCATCTGCCGCACGGCTCAAAATCTCCAGTGCAAATCATCTCTACAGTTTGCTAACAAGATGAGCAAGGAGAAATACAGTCATGCTCATGAGATTACATACTGTAGACAATACTTAATAATGGAGGAGGGCTGTCCATTTTTACTAGAGATTAAAAAGAAGACTCTTATTCTTCAAGCACCAAACTTACATCATTCAATAAAGTCAGTGATGATCTTGATTAATTTCCCATTAAGCGAAAGGATAATATGACATTGTTACAGTCAGAAAGATTAGTGCAGTGGAAAGGCAATGCAGGAGCAGAATGGCAAAAGGACAAACAGGAAAGGAATATTCACTCATCTTCAAAGATCTAGGCTCATGGGGAAAAACTCCACAAGGGAGGGATCTCCAACCAGAGATCCTTCCCCAGTGGCAGTCAGCCCTTAAATGAAGTCTCAGAGAGGTGCAGCCAGGCTCCACCCTTCCAGTCACCCAGCTGAATAGCTTTCACCTGTGCTCCCAGCGCTGACTGAGTCCTTTCCCAGGTGCTCAATCAGTGGTTTGGGCTGTGACTCAACAGTTCCCATACAGACATATCGTTCAATTTTGTTACTTTGGACACCTCTGAGATTGTGGTCAGGCAAAGAATATAATAGCCCGCCTTGAAATACACATATTTTCTTGCTAACAGCATCAAAGTACATAAATTACTGACTGTTAAGCCTCAGAAAAAAAAAGGGAGGGGAGGGGAGAGAGAATGATGCTGGGGTCACATCTAATTTGCAGGATATAAAAATTAGTCAAGCTCATTTCTTAGTTTTCATTAAGTCAAATATGCGAAGTTAGAGATAGTGGGATTGTCAGCACAAAACTCAACACAGAAAGCAAGAACATTTTTCTCCCCTGGTGCAGCTCAATTCAGCGACCCTACTGTCATTTTTCTGGTGACCTTTAACAAGCAAAGATTTCCATTCATTTTCAAGTAAGTTGAACTTGAGCAGTCTGTGAGCAGAAAATGCAACACCCAAAAGGCACCACTGGGAAGGAACTGGAATATGGAAAGAAAAACTAATTTCTGTATCCCTAGTTTCTACAAACCCAGCAGTGAGCTTATTCAGCCACTGAATGAGATATGACACATGGAGTCAGCACAAGATCACTGCTTCCATACAGTATTTCCATTGCTTGTTCCCAAAGAGAGGAAGAAGTTTCAAGAAATAGCCACATAGGCTGACTGTACAAGCAATACGGCATGCCAAGTAGTTCAGCAGCTTATTTAGCTGAGAGTTAATTCTCAGTGTTTTCCACTTTAGGTCTGAATCTTCTGCTACAATATTCAAGAACAGCAATGCTAAAATACTCCTGAGAACTTCAGTCTTCTAGTTGACCTCAATGATATCAGAGCTGGACTCTTTACATGACAATAATTTCTATATAGTATAACCTTATTTTGCTAAGATCAATCCTATGCTGTCAAAAATGAATGAACATATATTTGATAAAATACAGCTTGGTACAGTAACTATTTTTGTCTTGTCATCTTTAGTTTCTTTCCCTTATCAAAGCTATGTTTCTACAAGCAGCTACTCAAAATTGTGATACAGTATTTTATTCAACGATAGGAGCAGTATCATGTCATAGACTGGACATCTGTTTCTTTGGTCATTTTAGAACCTGAATAAATCAGACAAAAAGTGTTTTCAGCCAGAGCCATAAGATAAATCTCGGGAAAGAACCATAAAAAGCTCATAAATGGGAAAGCCATGGTTACAGCAGGAAAGTGTTATCTAGCAGGAAAGAGTATATCAAATAAGTTTTAAAATAAGTTAGAATGACAATGAATTCTATTTCTTTACAAACCCTGCAATGAGTCACTGGGGATGAAAAGAATGAAATTTTACTTTGTCTCCTGTACTGTTTTCATGGTTAGAAAAAGGGAAAAAGGGATTATCAGTGTCTGCTAGTAAAAAATATACAGAACACCTTATCAATTAAAGCAGTCAATTTCCATAGTATCTACAACAGCAAAAATTTAGAAAGCCATCTTCAAAATCAACATTGCGTCACCAGCACTGATTTTATGGGATGCTATTGCATGGCATTAAATCCCTTACTTAGATTAATCTAACCAGAAGACCTTCTGTATCATGGCACCTTTAAGGAATACTGCTTAAAATACAGCAAGCAATAACACTTTCTGACGAGGCACAGGAGTATGCAAATTCATCATTACCAGCACAACATGTAGTTGGTACAGAATGTACTTTGGTTGTGGTATTTATTGCATTTCTACTGCTAGACCGTCACAAGGCTTTTAACCTGGATAGAGTGGAGGTATTTTATATGGGTTTTTGTTTGACCTTACATATTTGCTGTTGTTGGCCAGACAAAAATTATGACAAATGAATCAGAAGACTGAAAAATAAGCAGTGCTTTCCTTGGGGTGTAAAACAGTTACAGCCCATCTGAATAAAGTGTGTTGCTGGAATCCTGCACTGTATGTTCTCTCACATACAATGGTTCATCTTCTCTCTGGATGAAAAGCCTGAAATATCAGAAGGCAGTTATCTGAAAAATGCCAGAAGTTCCCAAATCCTCAGTTCAGTTCTGAATTAAAGTAACAGCTCCTCATACTACTGGATAGATTTCTCAGTCAATCTGCAAATTCATACAGCGTACTCACATCAGCTCAGAGTGTCAATAAAATATTCTGATCAGAGGTTCAATGTGAGCATCTCCATTAACAGACTATTCCTTTGGAAAACAGACTTTTATGAAGTCTGTAAACTGGCAAATTGCTCATTGACAAATATAGCTATTCCCATTCCCGGTGCTAGCGTAATGCAGGCATACTTCACCACATTTGTATGTCAGTGAGCAGTTTGCTCTGTCTGAAGTGAGCTGCAAAGACAGCCACTCTCCACTGCTAGAAGAGTGCTCCCAACAGAAGTCAAGTGAACAGAAAGGCAAGGGGTCGATTACGTATCTGTAGTCACGTGGGATCGTCGTAGCCGCAGCTGAATTTCAGATACGCCTGAAATAAAGCAGGAGAAAGAATCCTTCCATTCCTCTGCATTTCCCAGAATCTTTTTCTCAATTTCCACATTTGTCTTCTTCATTTCCCTCTCTCCTCATTGCCAAATCTTACTGCATTCTGTAAATTCATGCTGCTGCTGAGGTGATTTCCAATCAAGATTTGGAAGAAGAACCATTTTGAAGGAGTGATTGATTTAATGCATTTCTGTGCCTCCAAAGCTGCTGTATGGCAATTCACTGACAAACTGCTGATGTTGTTACCTCAGAAATGACTGCACTTGCTCTTGAGAGACATCACTCTCATTTCAGTTTGTTACATACACACAATGAAGGAAGAGT